GGACCGAGGGGTAGTGGGCCGGCCATTTCAGGTTCATCTCTTGGAAACTCTTGAGCGTCTCGATGGTGCCAGCAATTGCGCGGCCGAGGGCGTTCTTGTTCTGGTTGTAGCGCAGTTGCAGGACATGGCTGCGCTGGCGCTCGTGTTCGGCGTTCCCTGACCCGGCAGACAGCATCGGTGATGGCCTGTCTTCGCCAATGTTAGACCGCCAATTCATGCCGCTGCCTTCGCCGTCTTGCATACTTCCGCCGTAGCCAGAGTCCTCGTCGAGCATGGAGACGAGGCGGGCGGCGGCGTCGCTCGTGGTGCTGCCGCCGCCGACCGTCATGTATCCGGGTCCAGCATTCCGGCGCGGGACGAAGTCGTCGGATTGGCCACGGCGGCCGCTGCTGGAGGACTCGCCGGGCGAGGAGGGGCGGCCGTTGCGTCGATCGGGATTCATCGAGGTGGTTCGGGTGGTTGCGCTATGAGGAGGGGCGCATGTCGTGATAGATGCGGAGAGGCGGGTGTGATGTTGTGGAGAGAGGCGGTGTCGAGAAAGAATATGCTGAGACAACGTCAGAGTTGGTGTGCACACGCCACCTCGCACCCAAGCAGGGATTGGCTGTCGTGACAGCTACACGCCCACCAGGGCACTGCCGCGGCATACACGTGTGCAGCTATTTCACGTCAACCTTTGCACGTCTGGCTGGGCGCTGTTTAATGCGTGAATTGCTTGGGTGAATTGGTGTACTAGAATTGCGCTTGCGTACATGTGGGCAAGTGGTAGATAATTCCCTCGAGGCTCGGCATCGCCATACCTGCGTCTGCGTATCTTGCCCTCCACGCCTCAACCCGGCCGAACATCAAATGACATAATCGGGCAAGGCAGCCACTTTTGCAACTTGACGTCTCTGCCCTCCTCCCGTACAAACACTCGCCAATTCAGAGCTGGTCTCTTCCTCTAGTCTTGTAATCTGAACGAAGTGGTCGGTCGTATCGCGCTGCCCGCCGCACCCACATCTCCAAGTCTACCCCAGGATCCTCCACAAACCTCGCCCAATCCAGTCGCAACCATGAACGTATGTATACCTACTCTTCTACATAGCCCATGCTGAAAAACCTGCAAGATCGTAGAATGGGCCTTCGGAAAGCGCATGACGCCGGCGGAACGGTTGCGGAAACACCAGCGCGCACTCGAGAAGACGCAGCGAGAGCTAGACCGCGAGCGCGTGAAGCTTGAGAACCAGGAGAAGAAGCTAGTCGCAGACATCAAGAAGAGCGCAAAGAATGGGCAGATGGGGCCTCTGCGCATCCAGGCAAAGGACCTGGTGCGCACACGGCGGTATGCTGAGTCGCTGTCGCATTGCTGATAGGACATGGCTAACGTACGCAAGATACATCCAGAAGTTCTACCAGATGCGCACACAACTGCAGGCGATTTCGCTCAGGATACAGGTATGGCGTATGCCTACTAGAAACGGACATGGCTAATGCGAGCAGACCGTACGCAGTAACGAGCAGATGATGCAGTCTATGAAGGGCGCGACAAGTGAGTACATCTACAACTTTTCGCTAGACTAGTCTAACATGCGCAGCACTGCTCGGAAGCATGAACAGGCAGATGAACCTGCCGGCGCTCCAACGCATTGCCATGGAGTTTGAGAAGGAGAACGACATCATGGACCAGCGGCAGGAGATGATGGACGACGCTATCGATGATGCCACTGGCATGGAAGACGAAGAAGAGAGCGAAGACCTCGTCAACCAGGTCTTGGATGAGATAGGCATCGATCTTGGCCAGGCTGTGAGTACTCTCTCACTACCAAGACCGCAATCGCTAACGTCGCATAGCTTGGCGAGACGCCCAGCGGACTGCAGAAGAACACAGTACCTGAAGCTAGGGTGGCGCAGGCTGTTGGCGGCGGCGGAGCTGACCCTGATGACGACGACCTCCAGGCACGCTTGGACAGCCTGAGAAGGTGAGGTGAAGGGCTAGTACCAGAAGCAACTTCGCCATGCCCGCGCAGCATTCTTGGCTCGGTGTCAGCATGCATAGATATCAGGCCGACGGCTTGAATAGAGGTTCTTTCTTGATCACGTCAAGAGACAGTGCAATATGCGTATGAAGATCTGAAGATCTCAAATTTCCGCTGTTCATGTTGCGGGATAGTCATGGCCGGCGGTTGTACATAGACATGTTAGTCAATTCAAGCCGGCTCCACAGTACGCGCCGGTCTGCATGCGCGCGAGCCTAGATCGTGCTAATCCGCAGCCCAAAACCCTGGATTTGCTTTGGTTATGCTAGCCTTGGTTGATATAGCAGAGTCACAGGACCGTGTATTTGGCCTGCGCCGTCGCCTCCATTCACACCCGCGCAGTACCTAGCGGGGTCGCCTTCGTGAGTCGAGTACCTGCGCAATTGATCCCCGCACTTCCACAACAAGCAGTCGGGTTCCCATTGCGCACGCTGCCTGCAACTCACTGCCTATCCGCCCACGCTATCTCGACGATCGTCCAATCTCAACCCTGGAACGTGCCCGCGCCTTGTCATCTTTTCGCAGTGTCAAGCCTTCTCTTGCGCCAATTGATATTTCCGGCTGCTCGCCCCGCCATACACCCTCGACGTCATTACACCTAGCACCGACGACTCCCACGACTCCTCCCCTTGCATCCGTCTACATCTTTCCTACATTCTTGTCCCTCGAGCCCCGCTTATCTCATCCGCGAATCCGCCGCCGCCTCGGCCGCCCCATCTGCATCGCCGCCACTACCCAGTCACCAAACGCCAGCGCCATCCTCCAAGCTGGCAGGTAACAGGCGTCGGAGCGCCCAGGGAGGCTTGCTCTCGAAAATGTTTGGCAATGCAAAGGACGACGAGAGTCCCGCCGTCGACACCCCTGCCAACCATGACGCGCCCAAACCCGCAGCCCCAGCGGCGGACAACGCAGCTGCTGCACCGACAAACACAACCAGCAACGGCTCCGCTTCCATAGATCGCAAGCTCAGTGACGCTTCCGCCCCCACCGAGAGAAAACGACGGAGTAGTGGCGTATCGCGTGCCCGCGACATGTTCTCGAGCGCGAAACAGTCGCTGCACCTAGGCGGCTCTTCTCCCACCAACACGACCAACAACACCATGACCGAAAAGGCCGCCCCTCAGACGCCCATGCAGAAGCTGGGCAAGTCGGATGCTGCCCTCAGTGTCCCCCAGGGCTCCCTCAACAACTCGGCTGGCGAGTCGGCGCCCGGCCCACGATCTACCTTCCGCGTCGGTGTCACAGAGGATAAGAACAAGAAGTGCAGACGAACGATGGAGGATACCCACGCATACCTGTACAACTTCTTGAGCACCCCAGCGCCCTCGTATGCCGCCGACAAGGCCCGCGCCATCTCCGACGCCAGCTCCACTCAGTCTGACCCTCTGTCGCAAGCCGTAGTTGAGACGGACAACGGATACTTCGCCATCTTCGACGGACACGCCGGAACCTTCGCTGCCGACTGGTGTGGAAAGAAGCTTCACCTGATCCTGGAAGAGACAATCCGGAAGAACCCCAACACCCCGATACCCGAGCTGCTCGATCAGACCTTCACCGTCGTCGACCAGCAGTTGGAGAAGCTTCCTTTGAAGAACAGTGGTTGTACCGCGGTCATTGCAGTTCTGAGGTGGGAGGACCGAGTACCTAATGCGCAATCGTCCACCGGCTCAGTGCTCTTTGCACCCGCGGCTGTATCGGCTATCAAGCATGCAGGCGAAGGCGGCGAGGCTACCGATTCCGCTGTGGAGCCCGCAGCTGAACAGCAAGTCGAGGCGAGATTACGCAACGAGGCCAGCCGACAGCGCGTGCTGTACACCGCCAACGTAGGTGATGCGCGTATTGTCCTCTGCCGCAATGGCCGAGCGCTGCGCCTCTCCTACGACCACAAGGGCAGCGACGAGAACGAGGGACGCCGTGTTGCTAGTGCCGGCGGCTTGATTCTCAACAACCGCGTTAACGGCGTCCTTGCTGTCACACGAGCACTGGGCGATGCCTATATGAAGGACTTGGTCACCGGACACCCGTACACCACCGAGACTGTGATTCAGGCCGAGCAGGACGAGTTTCTCATTCTCGCTTGCGATGGTGTAAGTAATGCAGTCACAAATTCATGACATTTGCTAACAGCTATAGCTCTGGGATGTCTGTTCCGACCAGGAAGCCGTCGACCTAGTCCGCCAAGTTCACGATCCGCAAGAAGCCTCCAAGAAGCTCGTCGACTACGCCCTCGCACGCTTTTCGACCGACAACCTCTCCTGTATGGTTGTTCGCTTCGACAACAAGGCTCTTCGGCAGCGCAAAAACGACGCCGCGATGGGTGTGGACGGTGACCAGTCGACCATGAAGGGCGGAATCACCGAGGCAGATGCCATCGTAGCACAAGCGAAGAAGTCAATTGGCGAGCCTGAGATACCGGTCGAAGCAGCGGCACAGGAAATTATTATGGAGGAGGCCGAGGCTGAGCCCGGTCCTGAGCTCAACTTGGACGCCGCAAAGGCAGCCAGGAAACACGACGCATAGTGTGGATGGGTCACGACTTGGCATATGGATACTATGAATGGGGGAATATCTTGGAAGGGCAGGCGGCGTGCAATGTTCATGGACAGATGGCGGCAGTGTATGATTTCTAGCGTACCTGAGGATCCTTTGGGACCAGGTTTCTTTCGGGTGCATTCCCTAAGGTTAGCCGTATCTCAGAACTGAGCGCTTCAATGTAATCAAAGCAAAGCAAGTAAAGACGAGCTTGTCACACGTATATGTTTGCTGTCTGCTGTAAGCTACGCATGTTTGCCCCGCGTGTTTGCGCATTGACATTCCAGGTCCACGATGCGCTAATGACGATCGTGGGGCCTTTACCTGCACCGACTTTCACCGCATTCAAGAAATCCTGCGTCTACTAGCCCCCATTCCCGCTGTATCTACCCCCGAAGCTTGGATCACTGGAGTCACGCTCATGCGGCTCCGAGGAGCAACGCGATAATCATGTCGGGCGTCGACACGGCAGACTCTACGACCAACGCCCTCCCGAGCGATGCGCGACCCGCCTTTGTGACGCCGAGGGACCTGCTCCAACAGTCCCGAGCGCCTCTACCCCCGAAAGAGCAGCCGCGCCAACTTTCAGCTGTTGACCGCGAGCAACTGGACGGCCTGGTATGAAGTCTGGATCGCCGACAGTCGCTGCGGTAGCTGACAAGAGCTAGAGAACCATCAGAGCTTTCCTCAAGGCCAGAACGAGCTACGATGTGCTTCCTATAAGCTATCGCCTGATCGTCTTCGACACGGCGCTGCTGGTGAAGAAGAGTCTGAACATACTGAACCAGAATGGTGAGCTCGGACATGGTGTATAGAAGCACGAGCTGACGTTGAATGTAGGTATCGTCTCAGCGCCGCTATGGGATTCCAAGTCATCTACCTTTGCCGGACTCCTCACGACGTCGGACTATATAAACGTCATACAGTACTACTGGCAGAACCCAGACGCTTTGGCGCGGGTCGACCAGTTCCGCCTGAACAGTCTGCGAGGTAAGCGCTCGGCTTCGCATGCCGAACACAAGCTCACACAGACAGACATTGAGAGATCTCTGGGCGTCAAACCCATAGAAACCATATCCATCCACCCCGACCGACCCGTATACGAAGCATGCCGCAAGATGCTCGAATCGCGCGCGCGGCGTATCCCCATTGTCGACAGCGATGACGAGACACGTAGAACCATGGTCGTTAGCGTCATCACTCAATACCGCATATTGAAATTCATCGCTGTGAACGTCAAGGAGACACAGAAGCTGCGAAAGCCGCTGAAGGAGCTTAATGTCGGTACATACGAGGATCTCGCGACTGCATCGATGGACACACCGGTCATGGACGTCATCCACATGCTTGTTAAGAAGAGCATATCTAGTGTGCCCATTTTGGACAGAGCCGGTAGGTGGCAATGTTGGATTACGGCAAACTTGGCTAATATCCATAGGTACCGTGCTGAACGTCTTCGAAGCCGTCGACGTCATTGCACTTATCAAGGGCGGTGTATACGACGACCTGAACCTCACAGTCGGCGACGCGCTACTAAAGCGCTCAGACGTACGTCTCCACATCCTCATTATTTACAGTCTTCTGACAACGTCCAGGACTTTCCCGGCATCTTCACCTGTTCGCTCAACGACAACATGTCCACCCTCTACGACACGATCCGCAGATCGCGCGTCCACCGCTTCGTCGTCATCGATGAAAATAGCAAGCTCAAGGGCATGGTGACGCTAAGTGACGTTCTCGAGCATACGCTACTGGAAGGCATGGAGGACGAGTAGAACGACGCTATCCTAGACCACTTGTCAGCGAGCCATGTTAAGAGTCTTAGACTGCATGAGCAGAGAATGAGGAGGTGCGATGATTGACAGTATGTTTTGGGAACGGATCAAGATATCATATAAGGCGTCCTGGGAGGAATAAATGCGCGACTTCGAGTCATGAAGGAGGTCTAGCGAGTCAATATTAACATGATTATAAATTCTTGTTAAGTGTCTAAAGTATCTTCGCGTCCAGCGCCCACTTTCTAATGGTATCTCAAATAGCATAAACGCCGGGTATTCCCAAAACAACAAAAACTAACTCTCCCCAGCCAGACGCCTCGAATCAATCACAATACCTCGACTCTACACGCCCTCATCCTCATCCTCATCCTCATCCTCATCCTCATCCTCATCCTCATCCTCATCCTCATCCCCATCCCCCACCCAACTAATACTCGCCCCAACCAACTCCAATATCTGCGCTCCCCTAACCACACTAACCTCGCCCCTCTCCACACTTCCCTTGACAAACGCCTCAAACTCCTCTTTACCCATGACTTCCTGCCCCTCCTCCGGAAACAGCTGCGCAGACACCTTTTCCGCAATGTCGGCTGGGATGCGCCCAGCGGCGCTTTGCACGGCGAGGCCGAGGACGAGGCGTGCGGTCCGGATTAGGTACGTGTCTGTTTGGCTGGTGGTGGTTGAGGTGGAGAGGGCGCGGTGGAGGAGGAGGATTGTTGTGCGGGAGTCGGGGGAGGAGGGCGGACTAGTGGTGGTGGTGGGGAGGGAGGAGTGGGTGGAAAGGGGGAAGTCGTCGATACATGAAAGAGGGTTCTCGATTTCGGTTGTTGGTGTTGTTGTGGGTGATGGTGAATGACGGATAACAGTTGTCGTAGGCGAGGGTTGTGGGGTGGTGTCTGAAAGCGGGTTCTCGATCTCAGTTATCGGTGTGGATAGAGGCGATGGTTGTGCAGCGGTCCCGGGCCGTGAACGGGGACTTCGGATATGGACAATTGTTGTCGGCGTATCTGCGAGTGGGTCCCCAATCTCAGTTACCGGGGTGGATAAGGGTGATGGCGATGGAGTAGTCTGAACAGCAGTTCCAGGCCTTGAAAGAGGTTGCCGGATGTGGATAGTAGTTGGCGAGGCTTGCAGCATTGCTACGGCGGTTGCGGGGATGTTTTCGCCTATGACTGAGGTGCTGGGTTTGATTTCGGAGCTTCTTGGAGATATGTATCTGATGAAGCCCGTGAAGCCGGATGGTACGCGGGCACGGGAAGGTGTTGCTGGACTAGTTGGGCGGGACGGTCGGTAGTAGGGGATGGGGAGGGAGTAGTTTATTGGACTTGTTGACGGTGAGGGGCTCGTTGGGGTGTCTTGGGGGAGTGGCGTAGATTCGAAGAGGGATGGCGAGAAGGAGAAGCTGGAGTGAGGGCTGGGTGTCGATGTGGATGCGGAGTCGCTGCCGGTATCAAGAGGATGGGGTCGGGTGGTGGAGATGGGGATGAAAGCGATTGGCTATAGGAGAGATATGTTAGTGATACCCTGGGGAAAAGAGAGGAGGGTATAGGAAGACTTACATCAATCTGCGGTGCTTCATCCGAGATATCCAGCGGTGAGGGTGTTCGCTCCACCCAGTCTTCTTCTTGAACTGACATATGCTTATCACTACATTCTTCACATCCAAAATTCCTGCAATGGAAACCCGATGTTAGCAATCCGCCATCAATGTACGGGAGTATAGCTTCGGGTAAATCGCACCTCTTGCACCGTCCATGGTGGAACTTGTGACTGCAGCTCGTCCTCACCGAGGTCCTCGGGGTAGAGGCAGAAGACGAGGACTTGAGATCTAGGTGGAGAAGATCGAGTAGGAATGTCTTGATACGGCAATAACGACCGTGTGCTATGCAGTCTTGTAGTTCTAGGGGCGTCAGGGTGCAGTGGGATGTAGTCGCGTATGCCGGATTGGAGGCCTTGATTGGTGAAGGAGGGAGAGACGGTGAGTATAGGTCTAGGAAAGATTGCGAAGGCGATGTAGGGGTTGGCGGCTCGGATGGTATCGAGCACAGTGTATGTGCGCTTGCGACTGTGAAGACGCTGCTTCGATCCCGTCTATGTCGAGCATGTTTGAAGCGCGCGGCTTTTTCCTCGAAGCCGTTGCCGAATCTGAAGTCGTACCGTAGCTCGCCCTTCCTGTGGTGTGGCCTGTATTTGGATTCTGGGGTACTTGATCCAGATATCATGCGGCGAGGCCTCGTGGGTGCGGTGTTGATATGGTAGTTGTGATTCATGAAGCTGTCAGAGCGTCGAAGTCGTTGTATATCAAAGTCAGACATACTCCGGATCTTAGGCTGCCGGCGATGATAATTAGTCTCTGAGAGAGGTAAGGGGATGAGGTGAGGGCATGTTGACAGCTGGTGGGTTGTGGCCTCCATGACTGCGGAGATGGAGCGTTCTGGTGTGGAAAGTAGCGTTGGGCAGGGAGTAGAGTGTAAGTACCTTTGTTTGCCCGAGGTCGCATTTCTGAACAGAACTGATAGATGAATGAAGGCTCAGATGCCTTGTTTTGGTCCGATTGCACATCTGCTGACCCAAAACCACGGTAGAAAGGGCCCGAAAGAGGTCGAGACATTCACTGCCTTCGTCCTGCTCCAAAGAGCACACATTGTTACCCTCACTAGCGTGTGAAAGATGTCCGCGTCCTAAGAAAACCATTTCAAAGTCGCTACCGTCGATTGTCGTTGTGAGCATGATGTCAAAGCAATACCGTCTTTGTTGAGATACATCGCCTAGCCCATGGCGGCGGGACAATGACTTTATGAAGCGTACGTCGTCATTAAACTTGGCTCTGTCTTACTACGGAAGTAGGATCTAAGGTTCGCGTCATTTTGCTGAAACCTGTCATCCTAAGATGATTGATTGCAATCGTAACTTAGTTTGGGTGTAAGCTGAAGAGGCCGTGTTACAACACATTGCGCAGAGCCTGGAGTAAAGTTTAACATGTGTTTCACGTCGTTCTGGAAGGCGGATGGAATCGGCAGGAAAGTTTGAACGTCGTCGAAGCGATCCATTGCACCATTATGCGACGATAACCGTTGCTGTCACTGTCAAACTCAAGTGCTCGTCACTTCCTCGTTGATCGGTTGGGTGGTTGGGTGGTTGAAACCCGACTGCCGCCTGCCGCCGGCAAACTGCCCGCCTCACTTACCGAACACCCAACCACCGCTCCTCAAACTTCACACGCTCAACCATTATGTATATCTTGTATGCGCGTACAGTTCCCGTCTCTTGCCATGGACGAGATGAAAATGGAGATGAAAGGCGCGTTCTTTGGTGATGCCGCCCTTCGATGTGCGCGCGCCCTCCGCCTACCATACTAATTTCAACTCTTCGCAGCCAACATCACCGACGGTGAATTTGCGCGAGCGGGATTGCTACGGTTAGTATCTAAAGTTTTCGGGAAATTCTTGCTACGAAACACACTACAATTCGTCCGCTTGTACTGCTCATCGATTAAACTTTACCGGTCGACATTTCGACAGCGCACGACAGCCACTAGACACACGCTTGGACATCTTTCCACCAACTGTCCGCCCTCATCATCGCGACGCTTCGAAACACCAACACCGCCTCATCAAAATGAACGACCAAAACGAATCCCTTCTCTTCCGTCTCCCGCAGGAGTTGCGCGATGAGATCTACCACTACTATGTCCTTGAGGAAGACGGCTACCACCACGATGCCACGTCTGACAAGCTTCGACAGGCTAGCGGACGTCCGATCAATTTAAGTTTGCAGTACACTTGCAAGAAGACTGCGACCGAGATGGAGGGTCTGGCTCTGCAGGTGAACAGGGTTACATTCCGTACAAAGCTCGAAGTACCCGAACCTGACAGCGAATGCTCGAACGCGCTTTTATGGAATCATCTTCTCTGTGAACGAGAACGACCTCTCCGACGTATGTTCGAGTGGTCCTATACTCTGGTTACGCTCGAAGCTATACAACGCCTACGAGAGCTGCACCCAGATAGTACCGCGGCGGAGCAGATCGAGAAAGCGTTCATCAGAATGGGCGACAGGATTCAATGGCTCAGCTCCGGGACACTGTTTAATGAAGGCGTGGTATGGAGTATAGACTATACAGCGCACACAACCCTACTACAAGACTTGTTGCAAATCCTATCCACCCACCCAGAGTTCTGGCGGTTGACTTCCAAAGAGTATACCAGAGAGTCTGAAGAAAACGACAGTAGGCACGCTTCGGCTAGTCAAATTGAGCTGTTCTCTGACTTTGCACAGATGGTAGGATTGTACACGAAGATCTGGAGTACCCAAATCAGACGGTTCAGGCGTTGATGCTTGGATGGCGCCCGGACCCATGGCGAATGCCGGATCGCGCTGAGTTTGACACGATCTTCGAATTTCTTCCACGGCCGCCTGCAATAGTAGAGGACTTTGACCGAGGGTGGTATCTGGATGACACGTACTATTCGGCTACCGCGGTGACTATTCGATTCTTAGAGCGCCTGCCACCAGCCACTCGGACGCATCTACGCAATATTATCATCCAGGAAGACGAAATAAGCGAAGCACATAGGCAAACTCACGCTAGAGGCCTTGTTCCTTTCTGCTGCGAAAACCTCAGGCTTCGGATCGAGAGGAGAGTAGACGTATTTCACCAGCACTACTTGTCCGAGCGCATGGGTTTAGAAGACGGAATCGAGGAAATTGCGCCCTGGTTCGTTGAAACCAAGTTCCTCAAGAGGCTTGGGATGCCACCCGAGTCCTTTTGCTTGGTTCTTCACGGACCCACACCTCGAGCGAGCCAACGGCTGAGCGACCTTCTCATCAAGCTTGCCATTTGGGACGAGGGCTGCACTATACTTGAGCATAGATTAGGTCCCAGCTCCGATTATGTCGCCTACCCAATGCGTAGAGGCTTTGCGGACGGTGTTAAGATGATGGTTACAAGTGAGCTTCCTGCAAGAGTTGAGGCCGATATGGGACAGGTATGGGACATCAACCAGCTCCTGGACGACCATGTTGGCGAATGGCCTGCACTCAGCGAAGACGTATATGTGAAGACTGCCACTAGGCATGCTGGACACGAATTGTCGCTCGAAGAGGAGGACTAGACAGTACGAATGAAAGGCTGCAGTCTTCTCACCACAGATCCCTCTGCGACTCAAAGAACTCGGCTTTCGTCATACCGCTCTTGGGGTTCGTGGTACCATGGTACACCTCCGCCGTTGCGCCCTCGGCTGCGCCCTTGACAGCGCCCTTGACGAGTCTTATTAGTGCCGAATTTCGCGTTCCCCATGTAAAAGGTCTTGGTTTCCCGGATCATCGCATTCTAATACCCATCCAAAGCCTTTGCGACGCCGCTTCTGTGTCTTCTCTTTAGAGTCACATCACAATCGCTTAATCCAGAGAAAGCCCTCTCAGCTATGGCAATGGACCCGACACCACAGAACGCGTTGGATCAGCACCAGTCTCTCCTCTTCCGTCTTCCACGAGAGCTGCGAGATGAGATCTACCACTACTATTCCCAAGCAAACGGCTACTACTACGACACCACCTCTGAGACACTTCGAATGGACGGCGGCGAGTCCATTGATCTCAGTCTTCAATATACCTGCAAAAGAACAGCGGCGGAGATGCAGGGTATTGCCTTGGGAATCAACAAAATAACCTTCCGCACGATGGTCGATCTCCCCAGGCCTTCCGACCAACTCATGAAATCCCAAATCTTCGGTTATTACATCGATGAAGGAAGGGGTGCCATACTTAGTCGCATGCTCGAATGGACATACCCTCTAGTCACAGCCGAGGCCATGCGTAAGTTTTGCGAACGCCATCCAGCGAACCTGGCAGTCAAGAAGATGAGGGAATTGCATCGAGAGGGAGACAGTAATGGACCCCTAGCGCGTGGACACCTATGGGATTCGTCCGAAGATGTTGATACAGTCGATTATAACGAGTTCTCAGCGCAAACATTCGAAATCATCCGAGACTTGCTGGATATCATATCCACGGAGCCTGAATTCTGGCACATGACTGCAAGCGACTTCGATGTTAACGCGAGGAGGGCCTTTTTCGTGGCAACTAAGCACTGGGCTACCCGTTGGGAGGCATTCGAGGATTATCTTATGAAGCATGTTCCCGTATACACTTCCAAGGCAGAACAGCAGCGAGTACTACAGTGGCGACCTGACAGCTGGTCTATCCCCACAAATGATGACCTCGAAGCAGTGGCAGAGTTCCTACCTCACGACGATGATTCTGATCCTTTTGATATGGTACACATACGGGGAGGAAGGCGATCCTACTTCTCTGCAGCCGCCGTCGCGATTCAATTCCTCTCACGCCTCAGCGAATCCGCACGTAGCCATCTCCGCCAGGTCACTATACTGGAAGATGAGCACAGCGACCCCGAATCCTCCAGTCATGCAAGAGGCCTACTTCCGTTTTGTATCTCCAACACTCAGTTGAAGATTGAGAGAAGAGTAGACATATGGCGTACCTCACTCATACGTACTTCGAGAGCGACCCATGATGCAGGGAACCAACTTACAATGAAGGAAATTGGGATGTGGATTAGTGAGACAAAAGCACTGTTTGTCTTGGGGATGCTGCCTGGCTCTTACAATCTGGTCTTACACGGCCGATCACCTCTTGCGAGCCAACAAATCTGCGATGCCACTGTCAGGGTAGCAATCTGGGAGGAAGGCTGTACATCGATCGCAAAAGCCGACACTTTCCAAGGGCACTACTTTGTTCACTTTCTTGGTGAAGGCTTCGTGGAGGCGATCAAGGGGGTTGTAGAAGGGAACATTCCAGCTCGATTCGACGCAGACATGGGGAAGATATGGGATATCGACCAGCTGATGGAAGAAAAGGATGGCGATTGGCCTTCGGACCTGGAGGATGTTTTCGAAATTCGCAACCTGGAAGAGCCACCGGAAGGCTGGTGCGCTGCACATGAAGAGCGATTTGGGGTGTGGGAGCACAGAGACTATATTCAAGTGGACTGGACAGAATACATGGAGGGGGTTGAGATGCTTTTTGAAGCAGAATGAGGTCAATGAATCCGACTAGGTAGTGAGGACGAATGGGTGGAATATACCAACATCGTCGGCGATGGCTTAACTGCCTCATGGATGGCGAAATTTAGTGACAAGGAAGCCGTTTGGGCTGGCTAAATCAGGATATTGTGTCTTCGTTGTCCAGTCATCACGGTCTACAGTGACGTATGTCACCCATCTAAACTATCTTCTCTTCTTCTTTCAGATCTTCCTTGTGCAATTAAATCAGCCACCGAGGTACTGTTGACTCTTAGACTTACATGTATTGATATTCGCTGTACCGCTTCTGTGTTCCAGATAATTCTGGTACGCCATCGCCCTTGCGCCCTTGGCAGCGCCCTTTCGCTACCATGAGAGACACACTCTCAGCTTAACGTCAAAAGCTTCGCGCGACACATTTCTCCAACATACACAAACTTTCTTGCGCCAAGATGCAGTCGAAAAAGCCCATGATCATGGACCAGCATCAGTCGGTCTTCTTTCGTCTTCCTCGAGAACTACGCGACGAGGTGTATTACTACTACGTCTGGGAAGATCAGGGATACAGCCATCGCACGACTTCGGAGACTCTTCGGGCGAATAACGGGGACGCGGTTAGGATCAGTCTGCGATACACTTGTAAGAGGATCGCGAAAGAGATGGATGGAGTGGCATTCAAAACGAACGACATCACTTTCCGCACCATGCTCAGTCCGCCAGATATTACTGGCCATCCCACGAACGCATTCATGTACGAGCTTCTTCTCGGCGACCGTGGGTGTCGATTGAGATACATGGTACACTGGGCTCACAGCCTCATCTCGGTGGAGGTCATGCAAGAGCTGAGGAAACGATATCCATGGAGTCTTGCAGTACAAAGGATAACAAAAGAGGTTTCAAGAACCAAGAGGACCAATTTGCGATATGGATTTCTACCCACGGTGGAGACCCTAGACTTTTACGATGATGAATCTGTGCTGCAAGACTTGGTAGAGATTTTGGCGACATATCCGGAGTTTTCCTATTTGACTTCGAGAGAGTACGATATAGATTTACGAAAGGCGACGGGTCCCCAGGAAGATGACGAGGACTTGCCTTCTGAGGATGAGGATTACTTTTCCGACTCCTCCGACGAATCTGACAATGAGGATACGCCCTGCTACTCAAAGGAAACTCAGATGACTGTCTTGCAGTGGAAACCAAAAGCGTGGTGGATTCCAGACCGCACTGAGCTCAAAAGAGTATTGAAGTTCCTGCCTCCGTGGCCCAAAGTACCTCCAGAGCCGCCTTTTTACGACTGTTGGGTACCATTCATGTACTTCTCAGCAGCTGCAGTAGCTACTCGCTTTATCGAGAGGCTTTCTCCGAACATATGCAGGCAATTGCGCAAGATCATTATCCAGGAGGATCGACTGAGCGTGTCTCGTTCAAAAACTCACGCACAGGCTTTCATACCGTTGTGCGTTGCGAATCCTGATCTCCGCATAGAACGCAGGGTCGATGTCTGGTATACCGAGTTCGTGCATGAGAGCGAATATTTCGACGAGTTCGCAAGCAGAGTAATAGAGGCAATCGCTGTATGGATCAACGAGATCAAGATAGTGTACCAATTAGGTATGCCCGTCGCGTGCTTCAATTTAGTCCTGCACGGGCCTTCCAAACGAGCAAGCCAGCAGCTTTGCGACGCCGTTGTAAGAGCAGCGATATGGCAAGACGGCGCTGTCGAGATAGCTCGGCGGGAGCAGCGAGCGTTCGACTATGATCAAGCCGGCGCTGTAGCCGAAGACTTTGTCGACGTTATCAAAGAGATGCTGCGAGGGGAAATAGCGGCGAGGTTCGATGGTGCGGACATGGGCGAGATATGGGATATTGAGAAGATTCTACGCGAACACGTTGGTGACTGGCCTCGTTATGTCGGGGATGTGTTCCGTCTTCAGGACTTCGACGAGCCGGATGGTGGCTGGGAAGCGGCGCGCGAGGTGTATGAAGAAAACGTCGAATGGATGGATAGAATAAACGGGTGGAGGCGATTGGCCGGAGAAGAGTAGTAGAAGCGAGGGAATTGTATCGGCGCGCAGACCATTCCGTTTTAACTACTACATGCGATTATGTAGACCGAGTAATGCAGTAATGTTGTAACTTTTGCTCTGCCTTTTACTAATAACTCTGGCAACCTGGCAATAACCCGCCGGTTACAAGTTTCGCTATCAGATCAAACGAGCCAATGACCTGCTACATGAGTCGTACTGTGCATGCTCAACGGAATGAAGCTACGCCGCCACCCTTACATCCTCCGCGGCGCCCTTGATCAGTCTGACACGTACCGACTTGCGCGTTTCCTCACGCAAAAACCTCCACCCTGCCCGAATGATAGTGCTTCAACATGATTCGGAGGCCTTTGCGATACCAGTCGCTTGCCTCCATGCTCGCAATGCAAACTTCCAACATCGCAGACCCTCTTCGTCATGATGATGGACCCAGCATGAACAATCAACATCAGTCTCTTCTCTTCCGGCTGCCACGAGAGCTGCGAGATAAGATCTATGAGTACTACACGCATCAATAGCAAGGGTATATCTACGATCCATCGGCCAAGAAGTTTCGGCTCGCCAACGGAGAAAAGATCGATGTCGCGTTGATCTACACCTGCAAAAGAGTGGCACAAGAGATAGACGGTTTGGCGTTTGAATCGAACACGCACCGATTCAGCGTCCTTCCGCAGAATCCTGGTACCGAGACTTCAAACCCTGTAGCCTCGTTGTACCACAGTCTCCTAGAAGGGCGCAATGCGTGTTTTCGTGAAATGCTATCAGATGCATATCCACTTGTCACACGAGAAGTCTTGAGAGAGCTGCGATCGAGATATCCAGGCAACACAGTGGTGGAAAAGCTGGAGAAAACGATTATCAGGGAGCATTGGCCGCGCTTGCAGGAAGACGACCTTCGCCATGTGTTTGCATTGAGATATCTCGTCAAAGATGACATACTTCAAGATCTCATTCAGATCATCGCGACGCATCCAGCGTTCGAGCGCCTCGTTTCCAAAGCGTACGATCCATTCGCCAAGATTACCGCTCCGTTGGATTGTGATCCGCCTACGGATGGAGAAGATGAGTACGAGGATGATTACACCGACCAGAGCGGAAGTCACTCTCGGCAACCACTGTACACGAAAGACACCCTATTCCAGATCATCGACTGGAAGCCCCCGCTCTGGTGGATTCCAGAGAAGGGAGATCTTGACAGGATCGCGAAATATGTTCCAGCCGCACCGGAACCTATGAAATTCCATAATGGTCGCTTCAAGAGATTCAAAAGATACTTCTCGGCAGCGGCAGCTGCCATTCAATTCCTCGAGCGCCTTACACCCCAAAAGCGTGCGCAAGTGCGCAAAATTGTTATCCAGGAAAATTACACGGGCTTAAGACTCTCCCAGACTCACGCACGCGGGCTTGCTCCATATTTGCTCGAGAATCCTAGACTTCGGATAGAGCGGCGCGTCAACAGCTGGGGGACTGCGCTTGTCCGTAATGACGAGCGTCCCTACGGTATCGAGTACTGTCTCGCGGATGTTGTAGCGTGGATACACGAAGCAAGCATGCCATGGATTATGGATCTGCCAACGGGTTCTTTCTCCTTGGTCTTACATGGCCCTACTGAGGAAGCCAGTCAGCTTCTCTGCAATGCCATAATCCGTGCTGCGATATGGCAGGACGGCGCTGAAAAACTGAAACTCAGGACGGCTCCCATAGTCGATGACTTCGTCGACATTATAAAGGCGGTGGTGCGCGGCGATGTTCCGGTGCGTTTCGAGGCGGACATGCACGAGCTATGGGATATAGACAAGATCCTGCGCGAGCATTCCGGCCGGTGGCCCTGCGCAGTTGAGAATCGCATTTCGTTCCTCCATTTCGATATGCCTTATGCGGGCTGGGATGCGGTTCGCTCAGAGTATATGGAGGAGTTCGTGTGGACGGACAGGCTGGACGGGTGGGATCTGATGGTAGAAAGATGTCAGCTGGCCGACGAAGATTGAAGAAGTGTGGCGTGTTGAAGGCCAACCAAATTTCCGTAATAATTGCACTTTCCTACTTGTGACCTCCCCGATACGTGTGTCAGGGCTGTTGGAGGGCGCTGCATGTGAAGGGCGCCGGCCATGGTCGCGGCACACACGAAAACGCGCCAAGACCTATGTTTGACATGTTTGCAGTCAGCTATGACGTCAACCCAGCCGCGTCGCTTTCAACCCGCGCGGCCGAGATTCGAGCTTCCAGCATGGGCAGCAAGCTGATCACAATTACGAAGCCCAAGATCTAGGGTGGTACGCCTTGACCTAAATCCAGATACCCGCACACGCCAGCCATTGAAAGCGCCTGGCCGCTGCTCCGGGCCGCTGCGGTGCATGAGATTGATTGGTATGTTGGCGGCATTGTCGAGCTTGATTGAGGTTAAATCAAGGTATACGCTTGAAATGAGCCCCACATCGTCACTCGCTGTATATAGATTGTTCCGTTGGTGTTGATGTTGGCTGTGGCTTAATCCTGGGTAGAACAGGGACAAACGCAGGCACGGCAGGAACCTACGTCACTGCCCGCGTGCCTGCCTTCATAACGCGCCAACACGGACTCTTTGACTCCGCGCATACTCACGATACCCAGTTTCCCCCACTTCATCCTCTCTACTCTTACAATTGACCTTTGTAAAACACAGTAAGAATGGAGACCATCACCAACCTCGCAAGCAATGCTGCTGGCGCAGCCTCCAAGCTTATCTACGGCGACCAGACCAAGGCGGACGAGGCAGTCGACCAGACCAAGAACAACGAAACTGCCGGCAAGGAGCCTATCTCCGGTGAGCAGGGTCAGGGCACTGTCACTCAGCCCTACGACCAGGGCAATCTTGGTGAGTCCCCACCAACGCGCGCATTGGACGACCTGTGCTGACCCCGCTTGATAGCGACCCCTCTAGCGACGGCTGATAAGGGAACTTTCCTCGACTACTCGAACAACGAGACTGCGGGCAAAGAGCCAGTTTCTGGAGAGCTCGGTAAGGGGACTGTAACAGAGCCCTTTGACCAGGGCAACGATGGTAAGTGTACGACAATGACGGCTAGTAGAACAAAATACTGACGTATCGCACAGCCAAGGCCACCGAGAAGGCAGCCGAGAAGACCTCTGGCACAGATGAGTTCCTGAAGCTCGACCCTACCACCAAGGGACCGACCGAGACCATGACCCAAACATCGACCGACCCCAAGATCTACTCGGATAGCAAGGACCCGTCCTACGTTGGCATGCCCATCGTCCCCCTCAACCCCGACGCTGCTACGTCAAACACTGGCGCTACGTCCTCTACAACCCAGGCCACTGGCATCACGGACAAGGCTGGAGTAACGGATAAGCTTTGGAAGGACACCCCACTTGACGACATCAGCCGTTCAGGTGCGCCAGGTGCTGGTCCTACTGGTCCCAGCGATGTTACTCCTGCGGCTCCTGGTTCCACGGCAACCACAACTACCAGCCCTGATCCCGCCATCAAGACCACTGCTCCCGACTCTGTAACCGGTGCTTCAAGCACATACGCGGGTGGCGCTGGTACCGACACTAAGACTGATGCCGAGAAGGCCTCTGCGAACCGCGACACTCCAGAGTGGACATCAACAGGCGTTCCTTCTGACAGCAGCAACTTCGAAGCGGCTGCTGCCAAACAGAACGCTGCCTCTGGTTTGTGGACACGGGAACCCGGACAAAGTCGGGGTAGTACTGACGGTGCCGCAGGTTTGACTGGAGAGCACTCAGGTCGCAAGTCCGAGTCTGCCGATTTGACTACATCCCCAAGCGGCGAGGAGAAGGGTGGAAAGATGTCGCACTTGAAGGAGAAGATGAAGAACAAACTTCATATCGGCTCCAAGGACAAATAAGTGCGACGCAGAGGAATGGACGATCTATTGATGATGGATGAGACATGATACCACGGCAATAATATGCCACCACGGACGAGGACAGAACTCGTTGTGTACTCTTCAGATAGAAATCTACAGCGTTGAGCTCAAGTTTATCTTCCATTTCGTCCAATCATGTGCCTGGTTCAGCCTCGTGGCACTAACTAAAGTTAGCGTCGCGCCTGCCGTTCGCGATCTGACGTGCATACGCCTGACAGCGTACAACATCCATCTTATCACGCCTCACTTCCAACATAATAGCATCACGTTGGCAGCACTGAGACAATATATTGGTTCGCACTTGTCACAAGACCAAAACTTGACGAGCCGCTTCCTCTTCCAGGCTAGACAAATTCCAAGGTACGTGAACGGCTATATGCGTTTGAGGTACCGTGCCACCTAGACTACCGCTTGGTTAGCAGCTTTCTCGCCAACTAAGATCTCCCTTCCAACATTAGTTCCTGTCGTCTCCTCGATCCCCTCCGTTTGCAGCCAAGATGATGCACCCCACAGCACGGTCTACGCATCGCCACTAGTGTGGCAACCGCGGTGTACCTACACTCTCGGAACCACGTTTCGCGACGACTGATCTGGCAGCCTTACTTGTCAACATAATCTTGGTTACTCCGAATCGCGTCATTTTGGCCCATTTTATCCTTCCTCAATACAATCGTCTTATCATTTTTTATCGCACACCATCAACATGGGAAACATTGGCAACGAGAATGCAGTTCGTAGGGCTGACATCGCGATTGATAGAACAACACCTGAGAGGCAGACTCGAATTTCGAAAGACCTGTCTACTTCGCCACACAATCACGGCTACATGGAAAAGGCGAACATGATACGGAGGGCGGCGGGCAAGATACCGCATGTTTGCGTTGTCGGCGCTGGTGTCGCCGGACTAAGATGTGCGGATTTGTTGCTGAAGCAAGGCGTTAAGGTGACAATACTGGAGGGCCGGAATCGGGTTGGTGGGAGGGTATGTCTATGCAGCTGTGTAAGTTTTGACGCACACTAACTAGCTGTGAGCTATGCCAAAGCGATGAGCTCGGCCACAGGGTTGACCTGTAAGTTCGCAATTCTCAATGTAGCTTGTATGAACTGACCGTGCTGGCAGTGGGCCAAACTGGATACACGGGACTGACGACAACCCTATACTGGATTTGGCCAAAGAGACCAAAACTACTACCATGAACTGGGATGGTCGTCAATCAGTCTTCGACAGTCAGGGGAACCACATGTCGGATAAAGACGCGGCAAAGAACACCGAGCGTGTGTGGGCCATCATCGAGCAAGCCATGAAGCTGTCGAACGAGACTTCAACGACGATACCAGCGGAGAAAAGCCTGTATGACTACTTCCAAGAACAGGTCGTGAAAATGTTCCCCAACAAGAATGATGATGCAAAGAAGCAGCAGCAAACAATCCTCCAAATGGCAGAGATGTGGGGCGCCTTCGTTGGATCGCCCGTTCAGAGGCAAAGCCTAAAGTTCTTCTGGCTTGAAGAGTGCATCGATGGCGAGAATCTCTTCGTAGCATCTACGTACGACAAGGTACTGAAGAAGATCGCTGAGCCGGCACTGAAGGACGCGACGATGCTGTTTGAGCATAAAGTGCAGCGGATCATATCAGGAGATAAGACCGAAGATACACGCGTCGCCGTCGAAGTTGAAGGCCGACAAAGCATGACCTTTGACGAGGTCATCATGACAGCTCCACTGGGCTGGTTAAAGCGTAATCTCGGGGCCTTCGTTCCAGAATTACCGAAACGACTGACAGAGGCTGTTGGAAGTCTAGGGTACGGGCATCTAGACAAGGTGTACATCAGCTTCCCAGAAGCCTTCTGGAATGAGCCCATCACCAATGACTCAACTTCGCCATCCGCGTCCCGCGATCTCAGCAAACCAAACGTAACAGCAACGACGGCGCCCATCCACCAAGCGAAAGACTCACCCGTCAACCCAGCTCACTACCCAGGCTTCACACACTGGACACATCCAACCTATGCATCTGAAACAAACCCCGAATCCTGGGACCAAGAAGCCGTCAACCTGGCCGCCTTACCAGAAGGGTCAGCACACCCAACCCTCCTCTTCTACACCTTTGGCCCAACCAGCCTGCACATCGCGCAACTCCTCGCCTCTAATCCCCAAACAAAGCACAACACCCTCTTAGACTCCTTCTTCGCACCCTACTATACTAAACTCCCCAACTACAATTCCAAAGATCCCTCCTGCACCCCTACAGCCATCCTAGCAACAGCCTGGGCAAATGACGAACTCGCCGGGTACGGCTCCTACTGCAATTTCCAGGTAGGGCTTGAGAAGGGTGACGAAGATGTGGAGACGTTACGAAGAGGCGTGCCTGAACGCGGTGTTTGGTTGGCGGGAGAACATTGCGCGCCGTTTGTCGCATTGGGGACGGTGACGGGGGCGTATTGGAGTGGGGAGGGCGTCGCGAAACGCGTATTGCAAGCTTATGGACTTGATGGGAATTGAGATGGCATTCGATGGGGTTGCGTCAGGGTACTGTAGCCTCATTTCTTTCGATATGCTTGCGATGGATGTGATGGAACGTTTTTCCTTACTCGAAGTCATCACAACTGTCCTGCATACCAGATCTCAGTACATCTCCAACGATCAGCGCAAACCAAGATCAGACCCAAGTCTGAGTTCAAGGCGCACTCTTTTCTTCTCCAATACGAACATTCTCACCCAGAGTGCGAGGTTTTCCCCGACCAAGAATTATGCCGGTGGGTCATCTGCATGAGTCGTCGCAACCCAACGCATCACCAAAGATCCTGATGATTAACTTCCGCCTCCGCGGGCATTTCCATCCCCACTATTCCTCACCAGCTATTTCTCCATCCAGACATACCTGCATATCCCCACTCTCGCATTCTGCAAATGTACACAAGCTAAACCGCGTTGTGGTCCTCGCACCGAATCCGAACTACAGACGGGGTAGGCCGTTGGCGCGCATGCTCCGCGTTTCAGATTTTCCAGCTTGACGTGCTGGCCCTGGCCCCATCTGCATGTCCCTCTTTGCTTTTTCGTTCGCGTGGAGGCGGAAAGGCGCGAAATACGGTTTCT